GCCAAGAGAGAACCTGAGACGGAAGCGGGGGCTTCTGGCATTGCAATGGTAACGTGCGGGTCCATTTGTGTCCACGGATATTTCCCATTTCAACGGACAAAAAGGTGGCGAGCGGCAACAAATTATAACATTAAAAAACCCTAAAAATGAAAATGATAAATAGCTAAGTGTCCTTACTTCTTTCCAAGAACTATTGACGCAAAAATTAAGGAACAACTCCAGCAAAAGGAATTAACAAGAACAAATGTTGAATGAAAAATTGGATTGATCGAATGTTTTGTTCATTTTGCATTTGATACAACAAATACCTCTGAAATTTAGATATACAGGGTGTCAGAAAGTAAGTTTAATTTGGTCATAGAAGTTTTAAATTACGACGGGAGGTGCTATAGCGTTGAAATGCTCGCAAATATAGAAAATTATCCACCGTGGTATGCATTGTGTCACTAGCAGACCACAACAAAGATGGCAGCACTTTTACAAAGTAGATAAATATTCAGTGATACGTTTGTTAAGTAGCGAAGGAGAAAAATCAATTAATATTCATCGAAGAATGCAAAAACAGTATGTGTATGAATGACATATAAGAAGCCACCGTTAAACTGCAACTGCGCCTGTCATTGTCGTTGCAGTGGATCGAATTATTAGAGAAGACAGATGAATGACAATCGACAAGACGTTCAAGTTTGGGAATAGGTAATAACCACTGAGAGTTAGGTCAGGACTGTAGGGTGGGTAAACCAAAATTTTGAAGCCCAACTTCTGCAAGGCAGCCATCTCAACACGATTCCTTTAAATTTTAATATCTTGCTCAGCAAGAAGGAAAACACCTTTGGCCAATTTTTCTCTTCTTTTTTCTTTGACTGCTTCCTTTAACCGCAGTAGGATTGAAGCATAGTATTCTCTAGTTGTGGAGACACCTTTATCCCTATTATCGATTAAGAGGATGCCTTCTGAGTCCCAAAAGACTGTCGACATAATTTTACAAGCCGGCTGTGACACCCTAAACTTCTTGGGTAGTGGTGTGCCTTTTTGTGCCACTGCAAAGTCCTGTTTGGACTCAAGTTCATAATGATGAGCATAAGTTTCGTTCCCAGTAACAATTCGAGTCAATACTCCATCTTCATCTTCACTACAGAAGTCCAAAAACGAGCGAGAATACCCATCTTGCGTTGACTTTAGTCATGCCAAGATAATCTTCAAGAATTTTAAAAGTGGTTGAATCTGATACTCCTACCATTTCTGTGAGCTGTTTCTTCTTAAGTCGGGCATTTTCCAATATTAATTTTTCGACTTTTTCAATGATTTGTGGAGTGGTCACTTCAATCGGCCGGCTTGACCGTGGGTCGTCTTCATGTGAGTCTCTGTCTTGCCTAAAAAGGGTGTTCAACTTGTAAACCATGGTTTTACCTGGGCAAAAGTCCCTGTAAACGGATGACATCTCTTCCAGTATGGTTTGAACTGATTTTCTTTGCTTGGTAAAGAACTTTATAACAGCGCGGTACTCGATTTTCTCCATATTTCACAATTTGTTCCAGATTGACTTCATTCGTCAACGATAGTTCAAAGGCTACTGACCCAACTAATGATGAGTTACTTAATTCGTAATGACTCGAGTAAGTACCTTCACTAATGACCTACCTACCCATTCCACGAATTTAAAAACGTATCCTCGTATGATGCAATGTAATGAATTATTTTTATTTTGCCTTTAAAAAATATTCAAGGTTAGTCTTTGGACTCACCCTTGTATTTCTATTAGAAGCTCGACATTTTAAGAGGAACTATTATCTATTACTGTAGGATTTAAACGTTTAAGAGGGATTACTTACTTCTTACTCTCAGTATTGTGGTATTTATAAATGTTAGACATAAAATCCAAAAGCAGTTTTTCCGATTCAGAAAATGAACGTTGATCCACGTTCAACTATAAGCGAAAGTCATACTGGAACCATTTCGTTTTCAAAAAGCTTTTTATAGTGTACGAGTTCACATAATACAAGATAGTAAATAAGAAATAGCAATTTTTGTTCTGCAAGATAAGAGCGGAGCTCGTTAAATAAATTTCGTTGCGGATAATTTAAAAGAAGTGCTTCGTGAGCCGTTTTTCTCGCGTTGGCCCATCGCGTTTTATAGATAAAGGCCAAATGTTTTACACTTTTCGCGTTCACGCTGAAAATATCCGAAGGGGAAGAACCGGGGAAACCACACTATTAAACACAGGCTATTATTAACTCTAATTTTTTTTTTCTTACGTTAACCTCTTATTCGAAGGTGGCTTTAATATAGTTTTTTGCCATTGTGTATAGGTACTCGTCACCTTTTGTCTTTGGAGGCTTTTTGATCAAGTTTAATTACTACAGAGATCATGACAACTTCCGAATCCGGGGTTTCGGAGGCTATATTACATTTATTAAGACGATTTAATTTGTTTAGGTGAACAACAAAATATTAATTAGAAAGAGGCAGTTGCTTCGCCGCTTTTTACACTTTCAATACATTAATCGATCATTTGCATATTTAATAATTACCACGTTAAATAATAATCAGATCTGAACAGCATTTTTCACTTAACCTCCGCAACTGCGGAAGTTCTGCACACTTTTTTACACGTGCTTCTGCATTTGGTTCCGCAAATTTTTAATGGTGACGATATTACGGATTTTACTAAATTACTAGAAATATCGTAGAAACACGAGCATTGTAATCGATTACTCGGCAAAGATCACTAAATAATGTTCATTAGGTACGTATACTTGCCTCTACTAAAATTTAATTATTAAATGTGTGTTCTGAAATATAACCTAGCATACTAGCCAGTGCTGACGACGTCATGAATCGACGCCATATTGTACTGATGTGTCGCCATATTGTACTGGTTAAACAAGTCTGACAGTAGTATATCAAACGGGCGTGTGTGCAATACACTTTGAGGAGTTTTTTATTGTAAGAAACTTTAAAGCTTTTGGAGCAAAAATGTTGTAAATGAACACAAACACTATTCTTAATATGACGTCAACGCACTGGTCAGTACATTTCGGAACCAATCAACAGTATGGCATCGCTTCATGACGTCATCAGCACTGGTCAGTATGCTGGGTCATATTTTGGAACACACCTTAAGAAATTTAACAAAAAAATAATTGATAAGGAATTATTATTTTTTATATTAATTATACTTCCGCTTCGGCAAAAATTTATTATTGACGTCTGTTTCCGATTATTTTCTTGCTATCACATTTCCGCAGAACCGTCAATAAAGGTCTCAGCGAAGATGAGAATAACAACAAAACAATTAGAAGTGATAATGCTTGCCTCTGCGTTGTTTGTTGAAACTAAAGAACAGAAATATCTCGTTTAACCTTTAATTTAAAGGATCTGGGGCTTTTATTAAAAAATGTTCTCTCCCGAAAAAAAATTTAATCATTTAATTTCAACTGATGCTTTGATGCTAAAAGTGTTTTTCTCTTCCGTCAGGCCGTATAAAAATAAGTCGAACTGAAATGAAATGGCAAACAAGATTTTTTAAGAAAAAGCAAAAAGGCTTTTATTTGGATTATACCTACTGTTGGTAACTAAAAAAAAACTCAGAGAATCAAAAATATACTATTGTTAGGTGTGCATATTTTGTCATAAAAATAACCAAAATAAAAAAATTACACTTCAAGGACTAAGATCCTTGGGCCGTCTATAAAACGAAAGCATTAATATGGAAAATGCTACTTCAAACATTTTTTTCAGTTGAAACTACCTTTCTGCTTCTTGGTTTTAGCCAATCTAATGATGTATCAGTCATTAAAAGAGAGCTGCTTTTAATTTAATTTCGTCTTTAGAAAAAGATTTTCTCTAGAAATGCTGTATTGATTAATTTTAGGGACGAGAGTTTTCGTGGGATACCGAATAAGACGTTTTATTAAAAAATATTTTCACATTCAGACAAAAAAGAATTTAATCATTTAATTTCGATTGCGACGTTCGTTGGAAGACTTTTTCTTCATCTCGCCGGATTGGAAATAATCCAGTTGAGGCCGAATAAACGAAAAAACTTCGTCATAAGCGTAACCGTTTAGGGGTTGTTTTCGGTTCAATGCGGTGTGGAGATGATTTATTTCGAACGCAGTTTTAAATTGATTAAAATTCACGAGTCGTCCTCAAAGTGCGGAGACGACGAAAGATTTTCTGATGTCTAGTGAGCGCCTTTTGCAACCCCCGGGATTAAGAAAGTGTTTAAATATTCCAATGGCAGAATGCAATTCGTTATCTTTTAAGTATCAAAAGAGCACTGTCGTCTAACCAAACTCAACCAATATCAGTACTGCCTTTTAATTAAATATACAGGACCACTTTTTTGTTCTTTATTCGATAATTAACTAAATCTAATCCTACAGGAATTGTCTATTTCATTAACATGTTTCATTTAGTTTCATTAGTATAGATACTACAAACAAAAATCATCTATTTAAATTCTGAATTTCGATACTTCTCAGTCCTTAACTGTTATGTATTGCGTGCCGATGAGGACTAATAAGTCCTATATCGCGATCTTCGTATGTTTAATACTGTCTGCTACAGAAATTGTTTATTTCATTAATAGGTTTCATTACGTTTCATACCTATTTATGTACATTATTGACACTACAAACAATAATTATCTACTTAAATTTTGAATTTCGATAGTTCTCGGTCCTTATCTTTTATGTCCTGCGTGCTGATAAAGATTGATAAGTCCTATATCGCGATCTTCCTCTGTATAAATACTGCCTGTTGCTGAATCTAATCCTACAGGAATTGTCTATTTCATTAACATGTTTCATTTAGTTTCATTAGTATAGATACTACAAACAAAAATCATCTATTTAAATTCTGAATTTCGATACTTCTCAGTCCTTATCTTTTATGAATTGCGTGTTGATGAGGACTAATAAGTCCTACATTGCGGTCTTCGTCTGTATAAATACTGCCTGTTGCTTAATATTATAAATATTAGGAAGTCGACTTACCAGTTCTAAATGAAATTTCACTTATCAGAATCCATTTATTGGAGAAGAAGAACCGAAGTTGTACAAATCTCGCCACACGACCTCTGAGATCGATCGTTATATTTTCGGCAGATTCTCTACTATAATCTTTCGTAATGGAAACCCAAACGGGTGTCGTCTGATACTGAACGCCGTCAAAACTAAAACAGGCTTCAGCAGCCGAAAAGACCTGGAATCAAAAGGAAAACTATTAATTTTAATATACGACTCTAATAACACTAAAATCTTAAAGGATTACCCTAAAACATATATAACATCAATAAAATACAACTGATTAGCGTTTACAAACGATTCATTATCGTATAGTATTAATATACATATACAGGATGTTTCTGAAATAATTAGCGAGTTTTAAAGGGTGTTATGTAACAAGATGCGACAGGGAATCGCATGGTGAATAAAGCAGCGTGGTTAAGGGACAAAAAAAATTATTAGAACCCACATAAAGGAGTCAAACGGATTTAGATCAGGATTACGGGGCGACTACGGTACAAGGCCTGTTCGTCCAATCCAGCGTCTATTAAGGAAATATTCGTCTAGAAACTAACGCATCGGTGAATGTAATAATTAATAAGAATATTCTGCACTGACCTATGGCACTGACACATTGACCGAGTTCTAATGACTTCGACTGTCTAGGTGCAAGTTTACAACGTTAAAAGAACAAAAGTACTCTACGCTAGCTGTTGTAACATAAACATCGGCAATCAGACTTAATGAGTACAAAAATACAAAAGAAATACAATATGGATGCTGCTAAGTAGCAGCTGATGATTGAATGCGGCATTGCAATGTCTTATTTTCCTGTGTGATTCAACCAGGAGCGAAATGACCTTTGCCTATATTTTCAAATATGGTTTTCTCGAAAACGGTGGGCTTTTGAACCACCAAAGGTTTAATTATTTTCCTGTTTTATAGTTTCCTACCACCTTCAGCAAGCCTGCTACAGGCCTGACACTCGAAGCTGGCGGAAATTTTAAAATGAATGCGCGGTGGCAGAAGTAGACATTTTTAGGTATAACGATTACAGCCCTCTTTCTTCAGTATCCCTATCAGGGGCGTAGATTAAATATTTAAGAGCAGGGTTCAATTTACAAAATTAAATTAAAAAATTAACTTATTCGGTTGGTTTTCTTGTTGTAGATATTTAAAGTTTATATAAAAAAGAAATAGGCGTAACAATTTAGTTTAACATGATTTATATAAATATTATGTTAGATAATGAGCAAGTAATAGACATACAAACAGAAGAAGTAATTGTTGATGCCGTAGTAACTCCGGTGAGGACAATGAAAGTGAAAACTAACTACAAAACAAATAAAAACATCGTGTTTATTTTATTTCTTTTTTCATAAGTTATGTTTCTATATTATTTCCTAGTACGCAACTGTCCTATCGGTATTAATACAATAATTTACAACTACTGAAGACTTATTTGTGAATCGGTTCCGAGTGATTTACCCAAAAATGCCATAAATGGGCAAGTAGCTGCGCGGTCGCTTGCCGGCTTCGTTCGTCCGACCTGTACTTATTTCAGAAACACCCTAGATAAAACGCGAAGGCGACAGGGAAATAAACAATATCCACTATCATATATTGATTTCTGTCGAATGATACTTCCTTATCGTCTGTCCTTGGACGTTCCTCAGATAGTAGAGAAATCATATACTGCATACTCAAATGTACACACACTTTTTTAGCAAAAATGAAGCGAGTAATTCGTATAAATTTGGTACCATTACATAAATATTTTCTTTTTTATTGTTGTAGAAATACTTCAAATTGAAATAATTAAATATTGAATTATTTTTTATTAAATTTGTAGAATATTATTATTGAATTTTTTTATTACAGTATCATCTACTAGTAGATACCTACTACTTCGTACCACATATGTATACTTCGTTTACTTTCTCTAGCGATATGCCCCTTCCAATGGCTTGGATGCGGGCTGGCAAAATCGTAGGTAGGGAGAAAAAAGCTCATTACACTCTCGACTCATATTCATTAAACAAACTTTTTCATACAGTACCTACCAAATGTTTAGTTCAATCATGAATAGTAGTGCGAGTTGGAAACAGCGTTAAAGCCTTGAATATGTCTTCAAATATAAATAAACATCTCGTTGATATTTTCAGTGGTAATTGATACTAATAACAGTACATTTGAGCAATGTAATTGTAGTGGATAAAATGGTCAATTTTTTCGTACAGTACTGTACGGATTATACGCTCCTCACCAGTTAAGAGTTTTGCCGAGAGTTGTCTCCTTTCTTTTCTAGTGTTGCCTAGTGCTGTTCTTTTCTACTTTGCGCCGGTTAAGCTAAAGGTCACATCGCTAGAGAAACTAAACGAAGTATAATATCAGCGAACATGGATTATAATATCTGTGTTCGCTGATAATACAATTGTCGTGCATAATTAATGCAGCCAGATGGCAGGATTAATAGTATCTATAATTACTCAACATTTGGTGTTAATAGTGCCCAAAAGTCGTAAAGCTGTTAATCTGCCGTAGAATTTAAAGTTTATTCTTTAATTTTACTTCGAATTCGTAAAATAACCATTTATCGACCTGTTTAAATTTCTTGGTTAAGTAACAATTGCAGTTTTCGTTTGGAAGTTTAAAATTATATGTATGCAAAGGAACGAGACAAAAAAATGAAAAATTCAGTTCCAGTGGGGCCAACATTTCCTTCTCATTTCCCGTTCAATTTAATATTCTCCATTAGCCGTCACTGCTCGGGAAGAGAAAGAAAAGCATGAGCCAACTTTACGTCGTCGGCGCCGAGGCGGTTGGTTGCGGGTAAACTTTGCCAAGCTCGTGCCTGTCAAGGTACAGTTTCTCAATTTCCTTGATTTGCATATCATCCGTTTGATGTTACGCCGGAATATTAAATCAAGTCGCAAAGTAAGTATCAAATATGAAATCGCACACCACGCCATCTAGGTGAAGATGATTAACGGAATTATGTTAGGGAAAATGTGATTAGGACGTACACCCACATTGCGCTTTTGTACATACTATTAGGTTTACCTTACAGATACATATGCACATACTCCTACATGTAGTATTCTACGACTAGATAAGAACGGTTGTGTAAAAAATTTATCAGGAATACACATCATAGAAATGCTTTTATTGCAATTTTATATAAAACAAAGAAATTCGAAATGGTCAGTATTCTGTCCAAATTGTTGGATCTCATCAGCGCGCCGCAGACAGTTTCGACAAAACACAGGCTAACTCTACCTGCTGCCTTAACACAGCGTTTTATGAATTCCTACAAACGGCGCGGTAAACGCCATCTGTAGTACAATGCTACATTTAGTGGAATTCATTATGTTTTTTTTATTTTAAATCTATCTCTTTTATCCCTCGGGAACAGTGTTTATTTCTGGATAAAAGGTACTCTATGTCATTTTCTGAACCCCTGGCAATGTGTGCACAAAATTTCATGAAAGGTTTTACCCGCGGCTTCGCTTACGTTGATGTTCTAAAAACGTGTCAGAGACAACCACCTAAAATTAATTTTTGAAGTGAAACTTCTTTACGCACGGTAGGGTAAGTTCGTTTCATGCGAGTTGCTATGTAACGAAATCATGCAATGGATGTCCCCCCTCTACTCGGCCACGTAGTCGAGTTCGTAGTGGGGATCGCTTGAGCCGAGAGCGCGCTTCAATGCAACATTCGTTACAGATTTTGTATAAGAACAAAGGCTTTCACGGCCGGAATCCATAGTAGAATGAAGATTCGGGCTATAGGGCCGTGGTCTAAGTGAACTGTTGTGTCCAGACGTTCCGTCAGCTACTGCGGCTGACATCCTCAGTGGTAGTGCTGCGTTGACAACGTGAACGTAGATTATATCTCGAAGTCTCGACAACGACTGGGTCAACGCAGCACTACCACTGAGGATGTCAGCCGCAGTAGCTTACGAAACGTCTGGACAGCACAGTTCACTTAGACCACGGTCCTATAACTAGGGTTGCCTCTATTTCGACTGTGCGTACGTTATATTTTACAAGACATATAAAGTACGCAAAAATACTTTATTTAAGGCCTTAAGTAAACATCGTAATTTTGTAAGCGATTATTCGAAATTCAGAGTATTTTTGCATTAATAATATTGCACAGAAAAATGGCAAGCCATATTTGCGGAACAACCTGATTTCCCAAATCTGTTCAAAGTAGTGTCACTTTTGCTGTCCGTTCCGGCCACTTCAGCCTTTACATAAAAAGTATTCTCTGTTATGAACACAAAGTGGCGGGACGACAGGAATAAAGCTTCATTAAAACTAATTAAAAATGGACTTTTACTTTACTTAAATCTTTGTTTGCTATGTTTAGAGGCTATTAATATATTTAAGAGCGACAGCAATTTGTTACTGGCTGCTAGGTGTAACAAAAAATATGTTTTTAAAAACAAAAAATAAAATACTTTATTTTTATGCTGAGTACTTTTGTTTTTGAACCATTTAGTCGAGAAATACTTGAGAAATGTAAAGCCTGAAAAGGTAGCAACCCTACGTATAGCTCGAATCTACTTTTGGGATTTTGTAGTTTATTATTCATTCTACTGTATTTTGAAGGTTTGTTAAAAAAACAGTGGACATTAATAATAATTTAACTAAAATATTATTAATTTTTAACAGTCCATATTTTCACATCCAGTAATAATGTCGGTAAAATTGTAAGTTCGCGAACGAAATGTAAAATAACAACTGAGGAAAATAAAAAACCCCGTCCTGGAAAGTGGAATTGAATTGACGAATGATGAAAGGAAAGCAGAAAAAAATATTGTATAAGGGGCACACACTTACTTGAACACCTCTGGTGAACATGTTATTCGCATGGATTTGAACTGAAGAAAACTCGTATAGGCCATCGAATTCAAACGTGATATCAACAGGTTCTCCCTCCCGCGTCTCGTTATTCCACCCTATCCAACGGCTTCCTGAAAATAACACACAAAGGAAATCAGTGTGCATATATATAAATATATATGAGATAAATTGAAGAAACTTCGGAAGTTGCTAAAGATAAAATACTTCGAAGTGGTCTGTATTCTGTCGAAACTGCCAGAAGCGGATCGCGATTTCGATCTTTTTGGATCTCATCAGCGCGTCGCGTCTGGCAGTTTCGACAGAATACAGACCACTTCGAATTATTTTATTCGATTATGGTAACGAGCCTATCACGTTGAGGTTGGCTACGCCAGGATTCGTTTTCAGCAAGTAGATATCCACACAAGTGGACCTTGTAGAAGAATACGTAATCCGAAAATGTAGCATCGTGCATACTGCGCCATTTGTAGTATTTTACTACAGATAGATGATAAAAACGTAATGTTAAATTTTATATCAATTAAAATTATTGGTAATGATTCTTATATTATTAAAAAATAATCATATTTGATGAAATTTTTTAAAGAATCTTCACTTTTGGTCGATTCATTTTCAAGAATTATAACAGAATTTATATTCATTTGGTGGAAATTCATTTCGAATAATAATTAAACAATTTCAAAAACAAATGCAATTCTATGAAAATCCATGTTTTATTAAATTATAAGAATGTTCATAGCATTGCATCAGTTAGCAATTAGGTATTATATATTGAAAGAATTTACCTGATTTTTCTCCTTCAAGTTGTTTCTGATAGTCGTCATCTCCAAAGAGACCATCAACCAGCTGCCCCAGGCCATTTCTCATTAGATTCTCGTACAGTATTCCGTCATAACTGACATCCGTCAGGTCTACATCCAAGTCTCTTATCTCTCCTCTAGGAGCATCATACTTTACAATACTTTCTGAAGTAGAAAGAAAATTTTTATTATTAAAACAGGTCTCCATCAATCTTTACCAAATAAATAAAGAAGAGATTTGCCAGCTTTGGGAGGTAACAAAGATGCAGAAGATGATTGATACGATGAATTTGAAATAGAAGGTACATTCTCTACTACAATTATTTAGTATGTCCTTCTATTCAGAAAAACGCTTCATTTTATTGACGCTTAATAATAAAATTGTTCGGTTGCTTACTGTACAGTGTGTCTTATTACCAGAGATGTGATTTATCACTACATAGTATAAAACAAAGTCGCTTTCCCGCTGTCTGTCCCTATGTATGCTTAAATCTTTAAAACTACGCAACGGATTTTGATGCGGTTTTTTTTAAAAGATAGAGTGGCTCAAGAGGAAGGTTTATATGTATAATACATGCATAATATAGTAGGGAAACACTGATAATTTTAGAGGTTTCTAATGTGATGTCGTA